GATTCATTATGCCAGCACAGCGTCCCATATCCTACAGCCCTCAGACTCTTGGAGCACCCCTGCGACACCCAAGGCCACCCTATGAGCCAAACAGCGCACGCCCAAGCCAAATTCTCACAGAAACCGCTGGGCGCGCGGCCGGGTGCACATCGTGCTAAGACGAGCAACTCCCGCTTTGCCCAGAACATATTACCACGCCGTTTTTCAGAAAGAACAACTTAAGTGCTTGCACCGATGCTTGTTGCTCCTGCAGCTGCGCTTGATGCTCAGCCACCAGCGCCGCTCGGCTTGTCTGATTTGCCTGGGCATGCACACAACACTGCGCCAACTCTTATCCCCTTATCAAAGCGGCCAGTGCAGACGAGTTTCTTCGACCTCCTCCTTTAGCTCCCTACGCAGCTTGCTCTCCTGCCAGTGCAGCTGGGGTTTCTGGCCCTATGCAAAAGAATACTTCTACCAAGGGTCCGACTGTTTGGGGGTCTACATTCGGGATTCCTTAATCTTAAATTGATCCTCACCGTTGGTTACAGGCCCTCAGTATGACGAAGGAGCAGTTCAATTCCGGCAATCCTGGAGCTCAGCTTCTGTGGCGCGCTGTTGATGTTCAGCAGCTCGCTGTCGGGCGTCGCTGGCCTGCTGAAAGGGAACTTGTTGGAAGCCGGGGCTTGCAGAGGCTGCCAAAAAGTAGCACCTCGACGAACAAGTTCGCTCCACGTTGCATGACGCTATATTCTCATGTCAACAACTTCACGCACCACACCCCGTGCCCCGTGACTGCCTCGGCTTCCGGTATTGCCAGGGCCGTGGCGCTGTGCTTGGAGAGCTCGGACATTGCCTGTCAAGCGAGGATCTCAGACTCAACGAGTTCGCCCGGAGCACTGAAACCGAATGAGGGCTGCCTTGCTTAAGTGCAGTTACGATAGTTATACGAAGGATCCTACTGACCTGTTTTTTAGGGCATGTTTCCGGACCTTTGCTTTCTGAAACTCGCTTCTCGATCCAAACCACTATTCAATCTTCGCTTGCACGGATGCCTGCTGCTCCTGCAGCTGAGCTTGATAGTCAGCCGCCAGCGCCGCTCTGCTCTTCTGATTTGCCTGGACTTCAAACTCACACAACTCAGGGCTTACCCTTACCCATGTAGGCCCTCTCCGAATTGCGGCCCATGCAATCGAGTTTCTTCCAGCTCCTCCCGCAGCTCCCTCCCCAGATTGCTCTCCTGCTGATGCAGAACATGTTGGGGTCTAATGAGGTTCTAAACGCCTCCAGGAGGCGCCTATATGGCTTTGTAAAGATTTCCTAAAGATAATCATACCTTAGTTCGGGATCCCGGGTCTACATTAGGATCCGTTTGTTCTGAAGACTCCAACGTCCCTCACAGCTGGAAAGTCACGAACAAAGCGTCAATCGGGGGATGTAAGAAAAAGACTTGCGATAAGGCAGCGGTGAAGTGCTTCATTACTCTACCCACGACAGGCCTGCTGCTCCTAGCAGGGGGCAGCCCTTCACAGAATGGGGGAGCTATAGGCCAGTGACAAACCACTAATGCGTCTGCCTGTTAAATTTGCTGACAACCTTCTGAGGCTGAAGCCAAGCAACATCCTCTGCGGCCTGGAGGTGTGCGGCATGTTGCTGGCGGAAGTGCATGCACTCTTCCTCAAGCCTGCGGAAGGCAGTTGCATGATGCTTGCAGTGTCACCACGATTGAAGATCTAGTGAGACAGTCTTGGAACCCTTGGCTCTGAAGTCAAGTGAATGCTACGGCTCCCGTCTCCTACAAGACATGGCATGTCAAGGACGGCAGCGCTCACAACTACATCCTCTGCCTTGCTTGGAGCATGTCCCGCTGCTGCTGCCCAGAAGCCACCAGTTCCTCGGCTCTGGAAGCTCTGCCCATCGCAGCGTGAGTCACCCTAAACCCTAAGGTATTTCTGGCGTGCACAAAGTCGCGAGGACCCGAAAGAAGGAGGTGAGCCATGGGGTGCTGAGAAGTCGCCTCGGCATGAGAGCTTGCCTGCAGAGCCTGCTCCAGCCTCGGAGGAGAAAAGGAAAGCAAGACAAAGCCTTCCCGCACCTTCACCTTAAGGGGTATATATAGGGTATATAGTAGGTATATTAGGGTCCCAGGGTTAAGGGCCCATACTAGGGCTACTAGGGGCCCATGGGTTCTACCTTAGATTCACCTTCTGATGCTGAAGTCCAAGCTACAGCTGCCGGTTCTCCTCGTCCGCTTTGCGTTTGCTGGCGAGAGCTGACTCCAGCTCGGCTTGGAGACTTGGTGGACGCAGCTGACACGGCAAGCAGAAGGTGGAGAACAACTTGCCGCATGCTCTCTGCAGACATGGGACCTGCTCACCCTTGAAGCCTCAGTTCTCGAACAGCACTTCAAACGGGCGGTCACATTCAGTTTGTCAGGCCGGCGCCTCGCCACTTTCGAACTCGAAGGAGCTCGCCCCCACAGCTGAGAACCTGTGCGAACTACGAAGAGGGCCTATGAGGTCCTTCTTCCTCAGGCTTGCCATCGCCCGGCCTCACAGGAGAAGGCGATGAGTACTCCGAGCTGGATACGGGTGCCTCGAGTCGAGGGTCTGTCTTTGTGCAAAGAAAGGCCCACCAGTTTGAGGCTTGGCTGCCGGTACTTCACTGAGACTGCTCTTGCCGTGGTTTCCCTTTTTCACTCCAGGGGCCACCTCGAAGCTGGAGGTGTGCGTGCCCTTCTCTCCTTGGGTGCACATGCGAGACACGGCGTCGTGTCCGCCCTCTTCGGCCGAGAGACGTTGCAGCTCGGCAAGCTTGGCACCAAAAATCCGGACGGACTGCCTCCCAGAAGCCCTACTGAGCCCTACTGTGTGATATTGTGTGATGTAAGACGGGAGCGGAGAATAAGGGATCCCTCCCAACGCCCACCCACCGGTCATTCCTCGACTTTCTGGAAGATGGCGACTTGGGTGAGGACTTCTGCATCTGGATGATGAGGTTCATCTTCCTAGGCACAATCTGCTCTTGACTTCTGTCATCTTATGCTGCGATCACGACGCTCCGCCTACCGGAAGCTTATTTATGCTTCATTGCAACTGCAGTTTGCGCCCTCGAAGCTGGGACGTCATCCCTACAAACACACCTCGCTTCCTCAATCCCGGTCCCTCTAAAGGCAGCCGGCTCATGTTGCAGCTGCACCAGCTGATCCTCATACCTGGAAGCGATGAGTGGCAGCGTGTCATCCCTAAATCCTCCCAGAAGCCATACCAAAATATAGAAGCCCTATATAAAAGAGCCCATTGAAACCCAATGCAGGCCTTCTTCAACCCTACAAGAGCCCACTTCGCGATTCCCCCCCTCCCCTTAACCCTTTTGAAACCGGACTTGATGACTGCCAGCATTGCCTCTTCTGCCGTTCTTCCTCCCCTTAACCCTTTTCAGCATGGGCTTGGAT